AACAACATGGTAGAATGCAATGGTGCAAGTAAGATGAATCAATACATACAAGTACCTCACAGACAGTAACACTGCTTAAATGCACATGATACATATTGCTCACAACATACACCGCACAGGTTGCTCGACAGGCCACTGCATAGGCATTGAGCAACATTGAGATGGACTGAACCACGATGGCAAGGTGGCAACACACATGATACAGCCACATAATGCAGCAGCAATAAACATATTAGGTGTCACAGATGTGACTCAGTTCTGTCAAGCTGGTAGACGGAGAAGTCGTCTGGAGCCACAGCACAGTCGAGGATAGACGTATCCAGCCATGTTTTTGTAAAGGCAAAGACACAACAGCTCCTTGTGTCTCGCTTGCAATAAATCCATGCGTGCAGATCATCCAGTCTAATCCTCAAAGACTGAACGCCCGAAAGCAGAACTGGGGGGTACTGCATATGGGTTTGCTGCATCTCGTGCGGGTCCTGCACAAAACATCAGCTTGCTTTCCTCTCCATGTTTTCCTCCTATGGTACTCAAGTAAACAATGGACCCAGGGAAAATGTCTGCCGCAGAATCCCCAAACGTCGGCCCAAAGTCACAGACGATCGCAACGCCAAAAGTGTGTCATGGTCATATCCGTAGCATGGGAGTGCAGTCCAGGTGCAAAAAGTCATATGAACCACTGGACAGATTTTAATGAAACTCAGTGATAATTGATTGTACCGTCCTCTACATCTGAATAACATTTGAAGTCAACCCCATTTATGGCTGCCACAGCTAATCAACATTAGCTAACACAAAAACGCCTCTAACTCAGTCATTTTTACAGCTTTTAAGAAGCTTTTATCTTTGGGACAGCTATGTCTGAGTGGTTAGATCAGTTACCCTCCAATGCGAGAGTTGGGGGGTTGACTCCACCAGCACTAACATGCTGAAGTGTCTCTGGGCAAGACAGTGAACCCGTCATTGCCTCCGATGTGTGTCCCATTGGTGTATGAATATGATAAAGCACTGATTAGTCTTTATAAAGATATAGTAGAGTGCTGTATGAATGGGTAAATGAGGGTGCAGATTGTTTTTTAAAGCGCGTTGAGTATCTTGACAAGATAGAAAGGTGCTATATAAGTGCAGTTCATTTACCATTTTAGCTGGAATTTCATGTGATGGTAGCCACATGAAATAATAGTACAGTAGTCCCTCACTACTTTGCGGTTTATTTTTTACGGATTCGTTATATCGCGGATTTTTAAAGTACAATTAGACATGGCACAATTGATTGATTGATGGATTGATGGCCATGGATTGTTTATTTAAAATAAATTATTTTAAATGTTTTTGCACTTGTTGGCTGTTCACACACATTAATTCTGTCAAGGAATGCTAGAGTTTTAATAACTTTGTTCTCAATGCAGTTTACAGCAACAGTATTTACCACAATCCGAAGGATGGATGCTAATTTTCCTGTTGCTCTGACATATTTTCACTTAATATGTCTTGGGTCATAAATTTAACTTGTGTTGCAATTTTATTTGCCTTCTCTACAGCGCTCTTCAGAATGTAACATTCTTTCAGCTTTTTACATTCTCTTATCTGTGCCTTATCAAATTAAAGCACATGACATCTCATTGTTTAGTTTTTTTATGCTTTACTGAAACATTCTTAAGGAACCATCCATCCATCCATTATCTTTACCCGCTTATTCCATTTTTGGGTCACGGGGGTCGCTGGTGCCCATGTCCAGCAATCACTGTGCGAGGGGCGGGGTACACCCTGGACGGGTCGCAAGTCCATCACAGGGACACATAGAGACAAACGAGACAAACAACCATTCACTCTCTCACTCACACCTAGGGACAATTTAGAGTTACCAATCAGCCTAACATGCATGTTTTTGGTCTGTGGGAGGAAACCGGAGTACCCGGAGAAAACCCACGCATGCACAGAGAGAACATGCAAACTCCACCCAGAAGGCCCCTGGACCGGGGTTTGAACCAAGGACCTGCTCGCTGAGAGGCAGCTGCTCCACCAGTTGCGCCACCATGCTGCACTTCTTAAGGAACCATTGAAATATTTTTTAAATGTATTTTTTATTTTAGATCAATATTTTCTTTTTCTTTTGCATTCTATGAAAAGATAAGCAGCGATTCAGCCTCACCATTTGAAAGGTGCTTTTTTCTCATGTACAATGAGATTTTATTCTCAGAGAAGTATTTTCAGATTATAGTTGCTATTGTGAAGTTAACAAACCTTAACAGGAAGAAGCATCTTGTGTAAGATAAAAGGTACAAGGCAAGACATGTTTTTTTTTTTTTTTTTTTTTTGGGGGGGGGGGGGTTGTACTGAACACTAAAAATAGTTTTTTTGTTTTTGTTTTTTATCAGCATATTGATTGTTGAATCTTTGCCTTGTCACAACACGTACTATCATTTTTTGCACGCAACAATAAACTAGTGCATCTATCTGGCGTGCAGTTACTCACATTAAGTCAATTCAATTCAGTTTATTTAATTAGTGCCAATTCACAACAAAGTTGTTTCAGGACACGTTACAGAAACTTTCACATACATAGAAAAGCCAAATTAATTAATTAAACATTAGTGCTCTCCTAATTGATTATATTTCCTTATGAACAATTTCAAAAACAAACGTTATATTTACAGTGTTTGGTAATTTAACAGATGTGAAACTAATTTCATATTTTATTAAAACATTGTACAGTACAGTAGATGAAGACAAAACGGTGAGTCTTGAGCTTATACAGTCATCGCATTTAGTGATCTTTTTCTGAATATGTAATAAAGATGATCAGGGTACTGATGGCAATGGTTTATACATTTATTAGGGGTATCATTTTACTTAAAGCACATCTTTAATGTGATGAGTAAGTCAGTGTTGTATTTAGAGGGTTCATGTTGTGCAAAAAATAAAATTATCAGTTCATATGTTTTATGAAATATTGCTTTGTCAGAGCCGTGGTCTTTTCAAACCTCAAATTTTACTTTTAATTGAGACAAACTGAATTTGGTTCAATTCAGTTTCTTTATATAATGCCAAGTCACAACAGAAATTGTCTCGGAGCACTTAACAAAAACATACCAAACCTATGAGGTGGATGGATTATCTCAGCAAAGGAGAAGTGCTCAATAAGGTCAAGGTTTCTTTATTTGTCATTCGCGTCACATTTGGTACATGTGGTGAAACGAAATTGTGTACACAGGGTTCCAGTTACATCCAACAAAAGTATAAATTGTAAAGAAAAACGGTAATAAGATCTAAGATATAAACTAAGAAAGATGCTAAACTAAGAATACATTAAGCACTAATAGTGCAAAAACAATACACCAAACAACAGCAGTACAAACATGAGTGTGTGTGAGCAGATGAGTACGAATGAACACAACAATGTGAAATAAATCAGCAGCATAAGATCAGCAGCACATATCACAATCAAGTGGAGTTCCAGTGATTTATTTTTTCTCACAGTGATAATTCTGATTAGGGATTTGTGAGTAACAGCTTCAGGTTAGAAGCTGTTTCTCAGTCTAGTGGTTCTACACTTAATGCTCCTCCACCTCCTGCCTGAGAGGAATGGGATAAGAAGTGTGTGTGCTGGGTGAGTGGGGTCCTTCATGATGCAGGTGGCCCTCTTCCTGCATCTGGAGGTGTAAATGTCTGTGATGGTGGGGAGACTGACTCCAACAGTCTTCTGTGCAGCCTTCACCACTCTCTGCAAAGCTTTTCTTTCTGCAGCTGTGCAGCCTCCATGCCACACATTGATGCTGGAGCACAGGATGCTCTCCACTGCACACCTGTAGAAGGAGGTGAGGACTGAGCTTC